AATATTTGACAGGTGTAACAGTACTACTTAGATACCACTAGCTGTAAAGCTGGCAACAGACATGAGATGAATTGCCATATCGATCAACAACCTTTTGTCTATGGGTGTCACCATACACCTCCAAATGACCAATCCTGAAGATGGATCTGGCAGTTTGGAAAACCTTGTTCAGCTGTTGCTGTTACTCAGAAATAAGCTGTCCCAGATGTATGGCTGTGCTCCCTTCTACTCTGAGTAGTAATGACATGCCTGCGCCCTCTTATCTCATGGCCACATCTCATGGCCAGCCATCACTCTGTACCCCGTCCACACTAAAGCTATGATTAAGGCTGTGAGTGGAACTGATATGTCTGGTTTGATGCGCTGAACAAATATGGAAGCTTTTACTGGATCCAGAACCCTATGCAAAAATTTTTTTAACCATTCACGCTATAGTGCGTGGATTGAGTAATCTCCCCTGAAAGCTATTGCATTCTGCTTATTAAAGGAGAACTATGAGGTGAGTGCTTTTCACTCACCTCATAGTTCTAGCCGACCTGTGACAATGAGACTGTCACAGGCCGGCTCAGTAGATCGGGAGGTGAGCGAACACATACGGGGTGCGCTCACCTCTCGATCCTGTCACGGCTCTCTGCCGTGACAGGGGCGAGGGGCTGGATTCCCCTCTCCCCGCTCCGATCTGCCAGCGCTGACTGGCGGAACGGACGGGGGAGGGGGCGGGTACAGCTGGCTCTGCCTCTAGATAGGCAGAGCCAGCTGTCACTCACGCAGCTGGGCGGATCCCGTCATCTAAGTCGTGATCCGCTCCGGCTGCGGCGTCTCAGTATACCGCGAGCTGTAGCTCGCGGTATAATGAGCTTAGGGTAACGGGAGAACGCTAGTTTGTGTCCTCCCGTTACCCTAAGGAGAACTATGGGGAAAAACACTGACCCCATAGTTCTCCTTTAATACATATTCATATGTTTCTCAGCTCCATCTAGTGGCTATAATACAGTATTTTCCTAATATTATATTTGACTTGAAAAGAATATACTAATAAGGTTCCAGAACAAACATACACAGAGTTTGGTAGAATTAATAGCTTTGCAATTTGTTTTTATTTTTTTATAAATACACCCCTTTATATTTTGTTCAGATTCTCTATTGAATGCATCAAGTGGAATACCAATCTTTGAAGCTGAACTCCAGCCTTACCTTCAAGCTTGCACAGTTCTGGCTCCTATCCTGAAATGAAAATAGTTAGGGGGTTATTCACTAAGCTGCTAAAGGCGAATGTTCAGCAATTCATTCCCTGCTGTTCACCCCTATTCTCAAAGGGGCCGAACTGCAGAAAGTGCATAGCTGAATGCAGCTGAGCATGAAAAATGTCAGTGTAAAAAAAAAAAAGAACAGTGTGAGGTTCCCCTCCACAATTCTTACCAGACCCTTTAGTCTGGTAGGAATGTTAGGGGGGACCCCCGATGTAATGAAAAAAAATGTGCGGGCTTCCCCTACAAATTCATACCAGACCCTTTAGGTCTGGTAGAAAATTTTAAGGTGGACCCCAACACAAAAAAAATGGCATCCCCCCTACAATCCCATACCAGACCCTTAATCCGAGAACTGGATTTTCAGAGCAGGAAAGGGGCGGATGAGCGAGCACTCCCTCCCTGCACTATACAAGGCCACATGCACTCAGATCCCCTCGAAAAGCACCTTGTTCCCATGCAGTTGAGGACAAGGGCCTCTTTCCCACAACCCTGGCCCAGTGGTTGTGGGGTCTGCGGGCAGGGGGGGGGGCTCATCTTCAACTGGGTACCCCCTTTCACAAAGGGGGTACCCAGATGCTGCCCCCCCTTGTGAATGAATAAGGGGTAGTTGTTACCCCTACTCATTCACCAAGAGTTAAGTAAATAGTAAATAAACATACCACACCGTGAAAAATCCTTTAACTTGAACAAAGAACAAAAGTCTGTTATTGACAATCAAAAGATGAATCCAGTGTCAATCATGTTGTCCAGCGATGTAACCCAACGTCAATCACGATGAACAACGCCCGCCGACTCACTGAAAACAAAAAAGTCCTGCCGCCTGCTGACCTGATCGCTTCTGCCCAACGCCCGCTGCAAAATGACAGGCCTGGCCCAAATGTTAACAAATGGGTGGAGTGAGTTGTGAAATTACGGCCCGCTCCACCCATTTGTTTTTATTCCATTACAGCTCCCTGTCCTCAAATGGCATGTAAACAAATTAGCAGAGCGAGTGCCGTGATGTCACAGGACTGGGACACTACAATGGCTGTAGGAATGTATTTTGCAGGTCAGACCAGTTTTTAAAAAAAACGGACATGTACTAGTAGGATTTTGTTTTAAAAAAATGTTTTCAGATAGTTTATCCGATATGCTGATAGTTAATGGGGTCAAAACTGTCCAAATTTGGGTGATCCTTGAAAATTCAACTCTCCAGGGAAGCCTATCCCACCTCCACATGATAACTGCACATTTACCGTGTTTCCCTGAAAATAAGACACTGTCTTATATTTTTTTTGGCTAAAAAAAACACACTAGGTCTTATTTTCGGGGTAGGTCTTATTTTTTTTTTTTTTAAACAGTCTACATGTATTCATGTACAAAAATATGGTGATCAGGGCAATGAGGGGCACCTTACCTTTCCAAGAGCAATTTGCTAATCAATCGCTGGCCAGAATGAGCGAAGCGCACTTCCACTATTGATTCCTCACAGGCGGAGTGCATTTGGTATGACTCCGCCTGTGACAGGAGTCGGCACTAGAGAGGAGGCATCGGCTTATGCAGCTCTGCTCCTTCCGCTGCCGCCTCGCTTCCTCTAGCGCTAGCTTCGTTTTCACCGCTGATTCTCTCCTGCCTCTAACGCTGCTCTTCAAGTTCCCCCTCTTGCCACCACCGACCCTGGGAATGGTCACAACTAGGTCTTATTTTCGGGGTAGGTCTTATATTTTAGCAATTCCCAGAAATAGTACTATGTCTTATTTTCGGGGTAGGTCTTATTTTCGGGGAAACAGGCTCACAATTATTGCCTTTTGTATCACTTGCCCCTGCTCCTATATTGTAATAGCTGTTCGGCTATTCACTTCAGGCATGTTTGGCTGATTTCAGCCGTATATCGGCTGAAATCAGCGGTACATCGGCTTGCTTTGCGCGGCATTCTGCTCGGCTATTCTGCTCGGTACCTCTGTGGTACCGAGCAGAATAGAAAAACAGTTAAAAAAGTAGTTAAAAAAAATAGAAAACGATTGGGCGGAGCTAGCAGTGACAGCTAGATCCGCCCAACTGTTTTCTATTGGTCGGGCGGTTACTGACGGCAGCCATGGCTCCGATGTCAGAAGAAAAAAAAACAAAACACAAAGCAGGGAAAGGTTTACTCTGCTCGATCGAGCAGAGTAAACCTTTCTGGGAGAAAGTGTTTCTCTCCCGGGCGGCCGGGAGCCGCTATCTAATAGCGGGAGGCTCCCGAAGCATCCGGGAGAGTTGGGCTGTCTGGACATCAGTGTCCCTGGTTACCTGGTAAGCAGGGATGCTGATCTGTCTGTGCAGGTGGCTGGAGCCAGCCGTGAGATTACGGCTGGCTCCGCCCAGCCGTCAGTAGCAGGCTGTCGGCCGGTTCAGCCAGCTTCGGCTTTCACCTTGGCTCAGTCGAGCCAAAGCATATGCCTTTGGCTCGACTGAGCCGCTTGGCCAACTTCGGGAGCTGTACGGGCTATAGTGAATAGCCCGTACAGCAGCCCTTCGGTTCTACTGAACCGAAGGGGTCCTGGGGCCGAAGCTAGCCGAAGGATCAGCCAAAGCTATGGCTAGATCCTTTGGCAGCTTCGTGAATAGGCCCCTACATTTTAACAGTGAATGTGGTACTTGTTGGGGAAACTCCATTCATTCTAAAATCAAATGTTAAAACCAAACAAAATTTGTCAAGTCTCTGATAGCATTATAGAATGTTCTGACAAAATTTTTCATATGAATGTTGGTATGAATATCTACCAGCTTAAGGGCTTGTTCACAACATCTCCAGACCGGCTCTATATGTGTGTTTTTGATGTCTTCTGGTGGGTTTTTTTTATTGGTTCTGCTTGGGTTTAAGGGCTTGTTCACACCAACTCCAAACCAGATGTTTTTGATTCGATTTTGATGTGTTCTGGTGTGTTTTTTTGTTTTGCGTTTACATGCATTTGCATGCATTTTTGGTGTGTTCTAAAGAAAAAAAAGTGCAGCATGCTCTGACTTTTTTTTAAAAGCTCTGGAACTGAACACAGTGGTGTGAACTAGCCTCATTTTTACAAGTGGAAATAATGTGTATGCGTTTTTTGGTCCAAAAAAAAACATTTTCTGGCCAGGATCTGGTCTAAGATTCAGTTCCAGAGCTTTAACAAAGCTCTGGAACTGAACGCACTGGTGTAAACTAACCTCATAAAACCATTGAAATTACTGTGTGTGTGTTTTTTGGTACAGATAAAAAAACACACCAGTCTGGAGATGGTGTGAACCAGCCCTAAGGTGATGCAGCAGCTTACAAATAATATACATTCATATATTCATTGTCTGTCCAAGAAGATAAAGGATTGACTCAACCTGCCACACTACTACACTGCAAGTAACACTACTGTTCTGTAAATCTTCTGGTCCATCCCTAGAGAATCCATCCAGGTAACAAGAGAACTAACAGCTCCATGTCCGCATTGCTAAGTAATGTGTAACAGATGGAAATAGATGTAGCTAACACTACAGAACACCAAGGTAACCCCGAAGCCTGAACAAAAAAAAAACATCCCAGGGAGAAAATCATATTGCATTAGAAACGAGAGGGACTCCGATTTCATCTGCTATTAGCAAATAACCTACCTATGCTGAAATAGAAATCTGCTGATTTCCATCCAACTATTTCATAGAGGAAGGATGTAATAACATGCCAGAGGTGATAAATCAGAGTGAGCTTTTCTCCTCCCCCTGCTCTGCACTTCCAGGCTCCTCCACACCGAGTCCAGCTCATTCTTTACCCTGACTCTTCAAGTGAGCATAGCTCTGCTATACAGCTGCAACATGGACGTAAGGACCCTGACTCTTCTCATCCTCCTGCTGGGGACAATCTGCCTCTCTTATGGTAAGTGCATAGAGAAGCCTAACACAAAAAAGATATATGTTATGATCTGTTTATAAACACAGGGAAAAACTAGTATTTAACTTGCACACTGTTTGCTCCATCGCTTGTTTTATTACCGCATCCAGAGCTTTCAAATGTAGCTACAGATTGTTGCATAAAGTCTTCATTTTTACTTTAGCATCTGCTTAGTTCGCAATGTATATTATGATGCACAGTAATGATCAATTTTATATTTTGCCATTTGCACAAGGCGAGGTAGTGAAACGTGAGATCAGAATGTTGAGCAGAGAGACCAGGCTTTACAAAGCACACTCGTTATTTTAGCATGAGTCGCTTTAAGTGTGGTTTAGTTTTTGTGGCTGACTGTTGAAATGTGGCTTCTTTCTATGCAGGTGCTATAGTGCTTTTATGTGTTACTTTACCTGGGTTACTTTGTATTTGTTTCCCCTTTCATTGATGTATCCATTCCAGCTGTTCTGTTTGATGTGTTTGTGGTGACATGAGGGTGTTTTCTGTAGATGGAGCACATGTGCAGCTCCCCAGAAAGTGACCTGCTTTTCCCAGACTCTCTTCCAGCCATGAGTGTCACCAGCAAGCTTTTTTCTACCTGCAGGCTACTCTTTTTTGTGCTCCTGCTAGTGGTGGAATTCCATGCTGGCTGCCATCACACGCTTCACACAGCTGGGGACATCGCTGATTGTGAGCTCTAATAATTTCCCTGAGCATCCCCCACCCCATTGTGTGATAGTGACAGTACTTTAGCACCCTGAATCCAACCTGATATCAGGTTATGCGTCATTCATCATCTCCATATACTCCAGTACATCACTCATCACTTATTTGATTTTGTATTAGAGGAGGTTGATTTACTAAATGAGCTGATTTACTAAATGAGTTCACTTAGAGAAGCGAATATTCACCTTGAAAAGTGTATGGGAGGTGAATGATAGTAAATATTGAATAACTAATCATGTGCAAGGGAAGTTAAAGCAAAATGTTTTTGCTAGAACATGAATACTTAATTGAAGTGAACTCAACTTCTAAGGTCAGTGAAAAGTTGCTCTGAAAAGTGAAGTATTTTATTCCTTTAGTAATTCAACCACAATATGTTATTTGTCATCCAGTGTAACTGATTTTTGCAGCAATTATTACAGCAAAAATAAATGAAACGAATTTGATCAGTTTATAGATTGGGTAGTGAAGATTACAAAAGATTTGGGTTCAGGCGTTGACAGCTGGTAGACAGACAATTTCAGCAATAGTCTGTGATATTTTATTTGCCTCTTGTATACGACATATTTATGTCACATATTGGGTTATGATGCTGAGCCCTGGAAGACACGCTGAGATAACATAGAAATCATTATACAATGTTAATTCTGATGAATATATGTATCTTATAAAAGACTGATGAATGTTTGTCTTTTGCTGGTGATTGATAGCATCAGTTTTTGTCTTGTCTGCTTATGTGACCTGATAGGCATACCAAATGTGTGTTTCTGTAATATGACTAATCTATGTAGACATAACATCCCCTGTATGCACTATATACATAAAATATTTAGAACAGAGGGCCATGCTATGACCACTAGCCAGCCCAAGTTGATGCTTGTATAGCAGGGAAATAGTCGGGGGGTTCTGGGGATCCCTGCTATACATCAAATTTACATCACCAACTCATCTCATCCAAATTTGTCATGACCGCTTTTCAAGTGCATTCAGATTGCCAACTCCTTCTGGCCCCCCAGCCTGTGTTCAGGTACAAAAGACACACGGTGATTTGTTTGGGGTCTGGAGCAGCCCATCAAATTACTTTCCATAAGAAAGAAGCGAAAAAGCCACAACAGCATTAGCATAGCAGGATAAAGGAAGCAGAAGTCAGTGAGGGTGTGGGACACAGGACAACTGAGGAGAGCAGACCCCCATCTACTGATGAGACTTTTCAGATTAGTCACCCAACAAGCAATGTATCAGTGTACAACATCTGGAACACATAGGCTATCTCAGTCATTTCAGCTCAATCAATAGTCGTTTTAAAGGCTACCCTATAAAAGGTTAACAGATTCTTCGCCCTGATAACCCCGGTGATCTGCAAAGCCACAGACAACATGAAATCTGGAACAGATGAGCGCGGCAATAAATAGTGCCTGGCTTTTTATAGCATGATATATATTCAGGTGTGCAATGAGGTGTAGGGAGAGGAATGTCAGCGGCAGCAGCAGTACCAGCCTGCTCATTCCTGACATCCCCAGCAGCCTCGGTGTTATAGCGCTGCATGCATGGAGCGATGTCCTTTCATCCAGACCGACATATAATTTCCAACTAAACGTATCAATCAATAGAACTAGTCTATTGCTTATTAATTACCGGGGGAACTAATGTTGACTAAACTGGTATGATGCATACAAGGCATGGGGGTTATGAAAAATGCTATGTACTAACAGAAAGGAGGGAGAAAGAAAACAGAAGTTGTTGTCCATCGCAATCAAGTTGAACTTTTCATTTTAACAAAACTTTTAAGCAACAGCTCTTTTCTGGTTTGTCTCTATCGTCAATTACTGCATTTTGTTTTCCTGTTTTAATGACTTAGCTCGTCAATAAAGCGTAAAATTCGGGAAACGATCATGCAATCCTCAGCAACTAAACAATTTTTTTAAGCGATCTGACTTTCTAGCAACGATCTAGCAACGATCACCATAAAGTGGAGGTAAATAGGTTAAAAAATATCAAAAGGTTGATACAAAGGGTGCACGGTGTTAAGGCGATGTGCAGAACCGGTTATTGCTTAAAAGAGAACATTCACAGAACAAGAGAACGTTCTGAAAATGTGACCGGGATTTGCAAGAGTTTCTTTTGTTGTCTTAAATGTATTCTTTTAATAAATCCGTAACAATCCACACTCACCACGCTTTAAATATCAGGCAGCAAATTACGTTTTGCATATACTTCTGCCTTTTATAATAATTCCACAAATGAACCTGAAGCGCCACTGTGTTAGTAGATTATCTATGTCTGTGGATTGGGGTTCATTTATGGTTTAGCACCCCTGAACTTTACTCTTAAACTTTCCAATCAACTCAGAGGAATAATCTTTATTTTCACATAGGTAATTGAAGCTGCATTGCTTGTGTAACAGATATTCTTATTTATTCAAATCTTATTGCACTCAAATTAAATTTCAAAGGGAGCAAACGTTTTCTTGGCTACCTGATTAAACGCCCATCATCTCCGAAAACGTAGTCCTGGAGAAAAGCTGCCTGCAGCCACATATCAGACAAATGCTGACTGCTATAAATTACTTTTCCTTATTCATTAAGCAGAAGGGTGCCTTGACTTTGAATTGCTTTAGAAAATCGATCAGGATTAATACTCTAGTGTGTACTTTTTGCTGGCCCAGCTACTATCTTTGTGCCACAGTTGTAGAGTTCTATTGTTCCTCTACGGCCTGTATTCAAATTTGGTGCCCCCTAATGCTCAGACTTAACTTGTGCCTATAAGTTGCAGTTTTCATCAAAACCAGCTGGTGGCGCTGATATGCTTCTTTGCCAATTCATCCAATGACCATAGAAAATGTAGTCATGCTCTATGCCAAGCTATTATACTGTCTACATTACATAGCTATATATTTTATACATTTATGGGAATATAACTCTGGCTGCACATACAACTAAAAGTTTGGGAACAAAACACAGAACTGATAACTGTACATCTTCTAATAATAAAGTCAGCCTGTGACTTTAATCTCGCACTGATCCAAGCATATGATATCATGAAGGAATTTGTCCTGTCTGTAGTGAAGTTAAGGTTGACTACATACTGGCTTCATAAGTCACACAGGATCTGCTCTGAATTATGTTTTTATTGTATATCACTGTGGATGTAGTTTTCCAATTTTATGTATATAATTCTCCATCTACATCACTTATGGGAGGAGAATGAAAGTGCTCTTAGTGTGGTCTTCTGGCTGGATGTGTAACTGGCCACCCTGCATCTTATCTCTCAGCCATGAGCCATCTGTGTGTACACATAAAGTAATCTATAATAGTGCAGCTACCCTGCCTGCAAGTCAAACACAAATGGGCTCATATTTCCCAGTTATCTCTAGGATTGGGTTTACCCTAAAACACAACTGGTTTCATCTTCTCTTTCTATGTACCTTTGACTATATTATAACCAACTCCAATAGTTAATTCCTTCATCTTTAGCATATATTTTCGACTTAGGTACCAGAAGATATGGTCAGATTACAGAACGTTCATACATTTGTAGACACCACCATGACCCTGGAGGACACTCCCTGGCTGAGCCTGCTGTCGGAAATGTTGACTGGGATATCTGGTTTATCATTTTTGTTTCCCACATATAAGGCATGCTAGGCAGCGCTCCTCTGGGAATAAGCATATAAAGTCAAACACTGCATGTGTAAGGGTTGCCCTCCTAGACATGCTCAACATCTGTTTTAAAGCGTTCATGATTGGGATGCAATCAAGTGTCCTGAACACACATATTGTGATGTGATCTGTGCCTAGTAACTGATCTTTGGGGGGAAAAAATATTTCAGAATTGATTTTCCCAGATAAACATTACTGGTTCCCTAAGAGGAGGTGTCAGGGGGTTTGCCATATCCAAAAAAGTACACCAGGTTTAACCACCCATGTGTTGATTAACAATGCCACAGTTGTTCTTAGAGAGGCATTGCAAGCAGCTGAATCTTAAGATTGCCATCTCATTATTTTCATTGTATTATTCCTCTCCTTGGAAACATGCAGGGCAAAGCAACAAGTTCACTTAACTTCCCTCCTTCCCAACAAACCATACTCACCTATGCTCCCCGCCACCCCATTTGGTGCCAGGAGTCAAGAGAAGTACCTATTGTCTTTATCTACAGATACCTATTTCCAGTTTATTGCTGGGGAGCGAATGTAATGCTGGGGATTTGGGAAGTTAAGGGAAGCTGCAGCTGTTAGTAATTGCAGACTTAGGGTTGGTTCATATTTTGC